AACTTTCAAAAGCTAATGTGGTGCCAATATTTTAACAGGGTAAACAGGATGACCCAGATAATTCTAGGTCTATCAGCCTGACATCAATCCCAGGCAAAATAATGGAGTGGCTGATATGGGACTCAATAGAAAATTAAAGGAGAGTAATATAATGAATGTCAATCAACATGGGTTTATGGAAAATAGATCCTATCAAACTAACTTGATATCTGTATTTGATTATATTACAAGTTTGGTTGATAAAGGTAACAGTGTTGACGTTATACACTTAGAGTTCTGTAAGGCGTTTGACTTGGTACCGCACAACATTCTGATTTAAAAACTAGACTGATATACAATGAACATGGCACTCGGGAAATGGATTAAAAGCCAGCTAACGGAGAGGTCTCAAAATATAACAGTAACGGGGAAATCATCATCAAGCAGGTGTGCTCCTAGTGAGGTCCCACAGTGATCTAGGCTACGCTATTTTAAACATTTTTATCACCGAGAAGAAAACATAAAATCTTCACTGGTAAAGTTTGCAGATGACACAAAAATTGGGGTAGTGGGAAATAATGAAGAAGAGAGATCAGTAAGTAATACAGAGCAATTTAGATTGTTTGGTAAACTGGGCACAGGTAAAAGATATGCATTTTAATACAGCTACATGCAGAAGAACGGCCATATTGGGTCAGACCAATGGTCCATCTAGCCCAGTATCCAGGCTTCAGACAGTGATCAATGCCAAATGCTTCAGAGGGAATGAACAGAACAAGGCAGTTACTGAGTGATCCATCCCCTGTTGTCCACTCCCAGCTTCTGGCAGTCAGAGGTTAGGAACAGACAGAACATGGGGTTGCACCTCAGACAATCTTGGCTAATAGCCATTGCTGGACCTATCCTCCGGGAATTTATCTAATTCTTTTTTGAGCCCAGTTATAGCTTTGGCCTTCACAACATCCCCTGGCAAGGAGTTCCACAGGGTGACTGTGCATTGGGTGAAGACGTACGTCCTTATGTTCCTTTTAAACCTGTTGCCTGTTCATTTCATTGGGTGACCCCTGGTTCCTACAAATATATACCTCTAGGAACAAATAGTTTAGGCTATACTTACATGATGGGGGGACTCTATGCTGGGAAGCAGTGACTTGGAACAAGATTTGGGGATCGTGGTGGATAATCAGGTGAACAGGAGCTCCCAATGTGATGCTGAGGCCAAAGGGGCTAATGTGATCCTGGGCTGCATAAACGGGAATCTCGAGTAAAAGAGGTGATTTGACCTCTGTATTTGGCACTGGTGTGACCACTGCTGGAATCCTGTGTCCCAGTCTGGTGCCCACGGTTCAAGAAGGAGGTTGATAGATTGGAGAGGGTTCAGAGAAGAGTCACGAGAATGATGAAAGGATCAGAAAACCTGCCTTCTCGTGATGGGCCCGAGGAGCTCAGTCTATTTAGTGGAACAAAGAGAAGGTTAAAGGTGACGTGATCTCAGTCTATAAATACCTACATGGAGTAATTGTCTCTTCAGTCTAGCATACAAAGGTCTGACACGATCCAGCGGCTGGAAGCTGAAGCTAGACACATTCAGACTGGTAATAAGGCGTGCATTTTTAACAGTGAGAGTAATTAACCATTGGAACAATGTACCAAGTGTTGTGGTGGACTATCCGTCGCTGGCAAATTTTAAATCAAGACTTGCAGTTTGTCTAACAGCTCGGCTCTAGGGATTACTGTGGGGTAGGTCTCTGGCCTGGGCTAGGCAGGAGGTCAGACGAGATGATCACGATGGTCCCTTCTGGCCTTGGGATCTCTTCCGCATGGAGGATGAAAGATCTTGTTTTTGTTTGTGTATCTCTGCACCTCCGGCACCGGTGCCCGCACTCATCGGCCAATCTCTAAAAACCAGACCCGGGTTTGGAAGGGCAGGGTCTCCTCAGCCCTGTGTGCTGGGCCCAGCAAGGCCATCAAAGCCAGTGAGAGCCGAAGCTGGGCTGCGCTAGAAACGTCAAGTGAAGTTTGTGCTGAAATGCCAAGCTGCATCAGCCCTGATCATAACCACTCGGTCGTGAACTTTGATGAACTCGAAATATCAGGTTGATCTATAAATGCAACTGGTGCTGCCGCTTTGGCAACGAACCGGAGATCCGCGGCCCAAGAGGTAATCAACCAACTTCCTCCTCTGACAACAGCCGCACACGGCAAGCCAGAGCGAGACAGTGATGCAATCGGACGGAAAACCTGGCCTGACAGATCGGGAGTGACGGACGAAAGTTAATATAATAAAGTCAGGGCCCAGTGCAATGGATGCTGCGGCAGCACAAGGCAGAGGTGGGGAGGGATCCAGGAGCAGAGCCGGCTGATAAAGGAGGGCAGGGAAATAGCCTCCTCCTCGGCCCCTCTTTTTTGGGGATTGGGGGGCGCTGGTAGGCTGGGTGCCTGTTTTAAAGCCAGGCCTCCAATTGGTCCTGCCATGATTTTGAAGTGGATTGAAAGGCAGAGTTAGTGGAGCAGATGCCCATTGGTAGGTACTTACAGGAAGGATCAGAGTAGAGTACGGACTCTCATCACAGGGAGCGAGTGATAGGTCCTTCCCCACATGCCATAACTGCCCCTCTGCCCCCCAACCTC